AAAAAAAAAAAGCTCCACTTGCCTGAGGAACTATGGGCCAGAGAAGAGTTGGCATAAATCTCACTTGAATGAGCAGATGTGCTAAACAGGCCGAACTGCGTGACGCTGACACCAGGGAGGGGTCTGGACGACGCACGGGGGACTCGGAGAAGGAGCCGGTCTCGTTAGAGGAACAGGGACGGCGGGAGCCCTCTTCAGCCTCACCGTCACGTCCGACGCGTTCTGGAAGGAAACAGATCGCTGTGCCTTTCAGCACCTGCGATTGTAAGAACACCTACCAGAAACACAGCACCATCACCCCTCCGCCTCGAGCCTCGGCTCACTTTACAAGAGGAGGACTGTCCACCAAGAGGCCCTGATTCCGTTCCGTCTCACCTACCAGCCTTTGGCCACATGCAAACCCGATTCCCGATCTCCAAGTGACCCTAACAGAAAGCAGCGTTTGCATTATCGCAGAAAGCTCAACATGGGTCGGGAAATTAACGCGGTTTGTCTAGCCCCGTTTTAGTTTAGCATCCCAGCAGCGCAAGATGAAAACACCAAAAAACTTTAAATTTTTTTTTAAAGTACTGAAAACAGTACCTGGGGTGCAAAGTCTGTCTTTCTCATCCTCTATAAACCCTAGAGTTGCTCTGGCTGGTTTGGCTCAGTGGATAGAGCATCGCCTGCAGACTGAAGGGTCCCGGGTTCAATTCCGGTCAGGGCACATGCCCGGGTTGCAGACTCGATCCCCAGTGTGGGGTGTGCAGGAGGCAGCCGATCAATTATTCTCTCTCATCATGGATGTTTCTATCTCTCGCTCCCTCTCCCTTCCTCTCTGAAATCAATAAAAATACATTAAAAAATAAAAATAAACAAACCCTAGAGTTGACGCCTTGCACATACTGGGCACTCCACCAAACGTGTATTAAATGGAAGGGTTAGAAAGCTTTTTTGAGTCACAGAATCATCGATCACCTGGTGGAAGCTGGCACCCCTCTCCTGAGAAAAACGCACCCCCCCCCACAGGGTTTCACACACCATTTTCAAGGGCCCTGGCAGCTTGTCCAAGGACCCCGAGCCCCGAGGTGAGGACCTGCGGGCGGGATGGGTGCCTGCTAGACCTGACAGCCCACAGCTGGACGGTATTTCCAGCACCGACACCGCTGCGCCTCACCAGGTAAGAAAGCACCACACGTGGGTTTCGCGGCTGCTATGAGGAGGTTGCACCCCGGGCCTTACCACACTGGGGGTCACAGTCAAAGTCCAGTCTCCCGTGTCGTTGTTCAGCACGCCGCACGTGGGAGCTGGCAAGGATCCTTCGGGAGGAGAGCATGCAGGGCCGTGTCACCCAGGGCGGAGGGTGCCCCCCGAGATGGATGGAATCCCTCGCCCAGCCCGGGCCTGGCCCTTAAAAGCTGCATGACTTTGGGCAAGTGACGGCCTCTCTGAACCTCAGTGTCTTCATCGGTCTAATGGGATTAGAATACATGACTGTTTTTATCCCGACGACGAGGTGAATGCCAGGCACTGTGACCGCAGGCTTTCCCGTGGGGTCCTCTCTGGTCCACATCAGCCCGCATTCCCCATCCCCATCCCCACCCCCATTCCCCCATCCCCCTCCCCCCTCCCCCTCCCCATTCCTACCCCCTTCCCGCATTCCCACCCCCTATCCCCATCCCGACTTCGCAAGTGGACAGCCGCAGGGGACCCCCGGGGGGGCCCCCTCCCCTGTGTCCGCCGCCGCCCGGACCCGGTCCAATACCCACCCTGCCCACCGGAAGCGCCGGACACTTTACCCGCTTGGTCCTGTAGCAGCGACAGGGACACGGCCACGTCCTCGGTGCCTCCGACCAGGGACGCGCTGACCACAGGGCCGGACGCGCGGATGAAAGCCGGGAGGAAGACTGGGCGGGAGGGGAGGGGAGGGGACAGGGAGGAGTGAGTCGCCGCAGAGGCCATGCCTGCGCTGGTGCTCCCCGCCTGCTGTGGGGGCTGCGGGTGTGGCCCCTGAGACGCCCGCCTCCCCTCCCGGCCCTGCAGGCCCCTGCCCCGTACACACCCGGGTCCCCCGGCAGCGGCCTCAGGACGCCCAGCACGAGGAGGAGCCCCAAGAGCAGAGCGGCCGGCGGTGGCGAGCCCATGTCCGGGACCTCGCCGGGCCCGCAGACCCAACCGCGCCGCCTCAGAAGCCGGGAAGCTCCCCGATGCCGCGCCGAGCCCCGCGTCGCCCCTCCGCCGCCATCTTGTCAAGCGAACGCCGGGAGCTATGGCAACCACCAATCGGCCGCCGGCCTGCGGAGCGTCGCGCCGGGATTGGAGCAGAGGCAGAGAGCCCGCCCCCGACCCCAGCGTCCTGGCCCCGCCCACCGCACCCTGGCCCCGCCCACGAACCTTGCGCTCCCCTGAAGGATCAGGAACTTAAAACCTGGTTTCCACACCCGATCGATCCCCTCGCTGCAGAGCGAGCCTGCAGACACTGGCTCCAAACACGCGCCGTAACACCCTTCATACTTATGGGGACGGACTAAAAGGGGGTGCGGCTGCATGGCCATGACTGCGTTGTTTTTACTGTTCTCCAGTTTTGAAGGTCTCAACACCCCGACAGCAGGCTGCATCAAACCACACTCGAAAGGTTTTGCCCCGTATTAGGACAGATGCAAAAGCGCCAGAATTCAGCCTGGCAAAAAATGTAACAGCATTTTCACAAATAACTTTGGCAATATTTGAAATTAAAGTTCTTCAGAAATGAATAAAAATGTGGTATTTGACCAAATCCAGTTAAAAAGTACACATTTGACGCAGCGTTGAATGAGCATGAAATAAACATTAAGAGAAAATAACTCAAGAAAATATTAAAGTTTATTTTATTATAAAAATTTATATAAAATAAACCATAAACACAACCGTTAAAAATAAAACAGAACTAAAACAGTATATAAAAACATTTCCAGTGAAAATTAATCTTATCAAAACTACTTGAAATTATCCTTTTAGATATACAATGCTTTCTTTCCTAGACTTAAAATAGGGATTTCCATTACACTTAATGAGGCTATGAATATTAAATATTATTTTTAAAGAGATTCTCAAACTCAAGAATTAACAAATACTTGTAAAGTTATCACAAAAATCTTTGTGTAGTTAATAAAATCGTAAGTCCAAAATACAAAACCCACTTGAAATAATCTAACCAAACACCACAAGTTATTTAAATGAGATTGAGCTTCCGAGATGGTATAAAAATTTAAATCTTATTTGTGTACAAGATTGGATATACAATTTGTCAACATGCTTTTTTGTTGTTGAAATATTACAGATGTCCCCCTTGGCAACATACTTTTAAAAACAAACCAAATCAGCCACTGTTCCCGAAAACCCTTCCCACACTATGCTGGAATTTAAAAGGACTTAATAACTTCAAGGTCATACGGAAAAAATACGATTTTTATTGCTGAAATTACAAATATTTTTTCGTTTGAACTGACAGAAATTTTCAGTATTAAGTCCAAAGCTTCTAGAGACCAGTTAGCCAGTGTTAATACTTTTATTTCTTTTCCTTGGTTAAAAAGAAAGGATTCAGTCTGGGGGTGACACTATACAGAATCCATCCCCCCCAAACCTGTAGTACCCCTCACAAGCCAGACATCAGCGTTCACAAATGACCTCTTCACACAACTGCTTTTGAAGAAGTTGCCACCAGACTCCTGCATCACTCGCCTGACTCATGTAAAGCAATTTCGCAGTGATTCCAAGACAAACTGTTATTATTATTTGGGTATCGCTGTCCAAACATGTGCCGACGTCACACAAAGGACTGAGTACCTGCAAGTATCTGAGGCTGAAGCTCCACGCAGACAACAAGGATCTGAAAGTGGATCCCAGTATGTAAGACGGTGCATGTTGACTAGGCCCTCACTCACTTTTTCTGAAACTGTTCCAATTCCCCCTGTAACGCTTGACAGTAAGAAGCTCTAAAGCCTACGCCCAGTCAGGACAGGCTGGTATGACACGTGAGACAGTTTAAAAAGTCACAAATGTGCACTTTTCCCCGTCCGGACAGAACCCTCTGGAAGCATTCTAGGGATGGATACTGCAGAGAAGGGCTCCCCACGTACAGCAGTCCCCACAGGGTGAGGTGATCTTTTAGGACTGCATCCTGTAAGGAACCGCATTAGGAATGCTTACACATATCTGTATTTTTCGGCGCCTCCTTACAAAGACTCCCCTCCCCGCTCCCGTTTCTACGGCAGCTCTGGGGGTGGGAAAGCTCGACCCTCACGCAGACACTTTCAGTTTCTTTTTCTTGGCCTTCAGCACGGGAGGCAGAGAAATCTTAAAGGCCGTCCTGAAACGACACAGGGAGCAAGACGCCCTTTAACGCGCGAACGCTCTGCCGCGGGCGGAGCCAGCCACCCAGCCCCGAAGATACTTACTCGCAGGTGGTGCAGATGGGGCTGAAGTTGCAGAATACTGTAAATGCAGAAAACAAAGAAAAGCCAGGGTGGCTGAAAACCACACCGTGGAGACACTCTCCGGCCTCCCGCGCCATGGCAAGAAGGAACCACCTCGGCCGTGAACTTACTCGACAAGCACACAGAACAGACGTAGCCGATCTCGATGAGGTTGCGGTGGCAGAAGCAGGCGGCCCGGTAGTCCACGTGAATGGGGGGAGGGAGGGTTAACTGAGATCTCTGGTCCTGATCAGGAAGAAAGACCCACTGAAAAAATAAAATCAAATAAAGCGCCTTTTTAGTATTCACTCAGCAATTACTGAGCCCCTCCACATACAGGCACCGCTCCGCAAACAGGCAGGCACACAACACTGCACACGGCTTGCAGGGTTCAAAGACTATGGGAAGCCCCCCGCTTCTCAGCTTCGAGACCCGTCACCCCTTCCTTCCTTTCCTCCAATGACTAGCACCCGCCATCTGCGCCCATTCGTTCCCCAGGAGACGGGCCTCAGGTGCCAGGCGCACCGTCACGGCTCCTTACCAGCAGGTACTGCAGGAGGGAGGGCATCTGCGGCACCTTCAAGTACAGGCCTCCTGTGATGTCACAAGCCTGCAAGACACACCAGGGCCCCTGCCAAAGCAGCCCGCACTTCGCTTTTCCAGGGGGACGTGCTGCAGGTCCCCCAACGGGGAGGAGACGACACAGCGGAGAGCAGTGTTTCCCAGAGCGCAGACCGGAACTGCCGCTTCCTCCCGGGATGTGCACGCAGCTTCCTTTTGCCCTTGGCTCACGCCTTCCACCCTTCCTTCTGTTTGTTTGCTGCTGCTGAACTTTATTCTTGCCACGTTTATTCAGTCATTATGTTTTTAAAACAACAACTCTGAGATATAATTCACGCCATACAATTAACTCAGTGTGGCTCAGGTGATTGCGCTCAAAGGGACAATTCCTGAGCACACGCCTGAGTTGTAGGCTCGATCCCCAGTAGGGGGCGGGCAGGAGGCAGCCAATGAATGTTTGGCTCTCACATCAATGTTTCTCTCTCCCCCCCTCTCCCTTCCTCTTCCTAAAAATCTTTATCTATATACACAGAGATCTATCATTCTCTTCACCAATTATTAACAATGGTAACTTTCGAATAATAGTATTTGAAGGGATTTTTTAACCTTTTTAAAAAATACTTTTCTGTGTTGCTTATATTTGTTTTAATGTGTGAATCACTTTTCCAAAGTCAATCGTGTTATTATGTAAAATAGAAAGTTTGAAGGGGCCAGAGAAATGTTCTCTAATCTATACTGTCACACAGGCTAACCCCTACAAATGTGTGACGATCAGTGAAAAGCATGGGACAACAGGAACAGAACACACCCCCCTTCATAACCAACACCAAGCATTCACCTAAAACGTACCTGTTGGAGGAGTCCTGAATCGGAGTCTAAAACACACGCATCGATCAAAATATTCTGAAACGAATATTCCGAAAACATTACAGGAATGATAACAATGACTACTTTATACTCAGAATCTATGTGCCAACCTCTACTCTTGAAATGGCTTATTTAACACGCATAACTGTGCAAGGCAGATATCCAATTAGCATACTGCAGCCCAGACCGGGCCAGGCTGTGGTCACGGAGCCAGGGGAGGCAGCGGGTCAGCCCTAGATGGCCTGTCCACAAGGCCCGTGGTCTTTTCACTACCTCACCTGGTTACTCCCAAATGGAGAACAGTATATGCAACTATGGCATTTAGATTATAACAGAAGTTTTAACACATCCAAGGAGAAAATGACATGTATTAGTGACAGTTCACCAAGGCATGTAGCACATTATAAGGCCAGAGACTCAGCCTGGGTCCTCGGATGGGCCCAATGGGGCGCATGAACACCCTGAAACTGCATTAACACTGTTGGAGTGCACGTCTTTCTGGGGGCTCATTCTCAGGGGGCCCAGGACTCAAATGATTGTATGAACTATGGGTTCCAGATTCCTGCTCCATTCATAAGGCTGTTTAGTCAGAAAACCTCCCTCAGTGGGTCATTAAGAAAAAGAAAGTAGATCCTCATTACGAAGTGAGCGTCCCGGAAAGGAGAGGCATGCGCTCACCTGCTTCTGCGCCGCGAAGATGACGTTCATGAAGTTCATGTACTGCAGGGCGCTGTCTTCCGCGGCCTTGATCACCTGCAGTCACAGCCCGTCAGGACCTGCAGGCGCACCCCCTCCCCCCGGGAGGTCCCGCCACTCCGCAAGCTCAGCCGACAGCACTTTTCTCACTGTCTGCCTAGCCATCCTCAGTAAACAACCCTATCGGTGTAAAGGAGACTGAACCCCCAAATCCTGCCACTCCAGGGACAGTCCTTGCTAACAGTTTCTGGAGAGCAGCTACGGGCACGTCATACACTTGCACCCACCGCACACACACGAACGGACAGTCCTCCGTCTAGTGCGCTGCGACCTGCTTCTTAGGCGTCTATGTCCTTCCTGCCGACTCAGCTGACTTCCGCTATTTACCCAAGTCCCTGCAGGGGACTCTGAAGCGCCTGCAAGGCTCAGTGCAGACAGCGCTCTGACGGACTCTCCGGGATGAGCTCCTGAAATCGGTGAGGCCGCACATTCCACCCTGACCCGGGGACAGCCACCTGCCCTGGGAGAGCTGCGCTATTTCATCCCCATCAGTGACGCCACGCGGG